AACAGCTAATGGCTGTATTTGGTATACCAAGACGTTGGAAACACACTACGTGAGGTGCTTGTGAACAGATGGCTTGTATCACATCTAAGTCACGTAGACTCTTTGGATGCATCGTCCGTGACTTTTATAGCACTGAACTAAGGGTCCTACTCTACAAAGTGAGCATCCATCCCATTTCGGAGTACGGCCTGTTTATCTTAGGTTGCCTTCGCATAAGCGACAAAGGAGAAATCGAAGGAGTATAACGCCACTTTACACTAAGAACACTAGGAGCTGACTGCAGTCTAGACTACATCTGTAGATGCAACATGCTAGGACTGGAACCTCTCTGGAAGAGGCGACTTAGAATGAATCTTATATTTTACCGTAAATCACTTCGTAAGCGAGTGCACTCATGTGGCCCGGAAATTAAAATAGTTGTAACATCTATTAACTATTTGCGTAATCACAGCCTATTAACGGAAAATGAGTGTTGTAAGACCGAATTGTGAGGCAACTTCTTCATCAATAAGTTCTCTCACATCTGGAATAGACTTCCTGAGGAAATACGTACCGCAGATACATTATCTACCCTTCGTTCTGCACTTAATAAGCTCCTAATAGATGATCAGTATACCACTCGCCTAGGCACTATCTATACGTTGTGGGCTAACGAAAGCATACTAGGACCTCTAAACGTATAGGGCAAAGCTATCATGAATCTCAAGTACTTTTTGCCTCAATGGACTCATGAAGGGTGTTTGATTACCAGTCCATCCGGTCGGATTGTGCAGTACAAATACACAACTAGTGTTCCCTTTTAAGTTTGCCAACAAAAACTGCCTGTCTAATAGCTCGTAAGAACTTCATATAAGGAAAAAAGAAGACTCATTCTCATATGAATAAATCAAAGTTAACACAGCTGGAGTGACTTTAAAAAGACAAGAACTCTCCGCCCGGTTTGTTTTACGTGGTATCCCGTTGTCCAGTTTCTCCCTGCGTTTTCTTTTCTTTTTTCTTTTCAGTATCAGCCTGACGAGAAAGACCTGAACATTAGCTTGATCAAAACGTATCAACTTACTGGGAGTCCTACTTTGTACCTAATACTAGAAACTGATGTTAGAGGTATCCAACTGGCTCGCCCTGATTTTCCATTTTCCTGTTTCTTGAACAGCTCATCACCAGTACCCTGAACAATGGCACATACGAAACCCCAAGCACAATAACTGGTCTCAGATTTCTGGTCCGTGACAGATGCAGCGGAAATCTGGATGAACAGTCAAACTCGACAGGTCACTTTACCTAACGGCAACAAATCCATAATAATGCTATGTAACAGATTTTTTTAGTGCTTTGTCTTGTATCGATCCATCTAATAAAAGTCAATTAACAGCCAATGTATCTTCTTGACAATGTTTCACACTTTAATGTGAAGTCTATGAAGTTTTACACTTGTGTAATATTCACCACCGTTGAACGACGGTTCTTCCACTCTTTAATTACTTGCACCACAACAAATGTTTTCAGTACTATCAATCTGAATTGGTGGAAAAGGCAACACTTGAAGAGTGAGAAACGCCTAAACTTAGACATTCACCTGGATTAATTGATTGTATGGATACTTGCTTATTCCTGAAATGATTGAGGTAGGCTACTGTTGGTCAGTAAATCTACGAGCACAAGAATTGCTGTTAAAACAGACCCTTATCTGACGAAACACTTGGTCTTGTGGATGGGTCAATCATGTCGACTTCTCACAACGCGAACACTAAATATTGCGCCGTTTGGTGCGAAGAAACAGTTGTGAGCAGAAATAACCTAGACTCAGTACGATGTGTGTGTACTGTGAAGTGATATTTTCCTGCTACTTTCGTAACGTTTAGACGCTTGGTATCATGATATAGTTTGATGTCCTCCCTCTGTATTATTCAATACTGCTAAAACCTTTTGTGTTTCTCTGCAATTATCAATTTGATGAGGCCTGTGAACTGGCTTCTCTCGTGTTAACTCCATAACTTGAGAATAAAAATATTTATTTATTTATTCATGGTGTAGCCGTAAAACAAAGGTATGGGATAGACTGATATATTACCATAAACATATGGTAACGAGCAGTCAGATACCACCCGAAATTCGGGAATCGTTACCCTCAAGAATCCCCCGAAAACGTAGCATGCAAATTCAACTTTACCAACTAGCTCCCTTTTCCATAAGGCAATGAACATTGAGGCGACTTTGGGGAGTTCCTTCGCGGGTTGCCATTCAGTAACCATCACCGACGACTTCAACTTTCTTTCCATCCACTTTGAGTGAAAGGGAAGCACATCAGATCCCTCGCTCAGAAGCTGAACGAACGATGACCTCACTGAGAATATAAGTGTCCTAAAGCCTCTTCGCCCTAGTGATCATGCAAGGATAACTTTCTCTTTCATAACTACGGAGACCCTGCAACTAGAGATACCTAATATCTTCTCTTGCCACAACAAGGTCAACTACAACATCACACGGGCTTATCTCATAAACGTGCCACGGCCTGAGGACTGAACTCGCCTCACAATACATGGACACTAGACGGAGGTGGAGGGAAAAATCCTTGGGGCCATCAGTCGCAGTGTGCCAGGGGTAGTATGCCAGTTGTCAGTGGGGACCTCATGGTAAAACCATGCTAGGGAGGGGCCATTCTGGACGAGAAAGCAGGTTCGTTTCGGACTGTGTTCAACAGGTGGGGGGTCTGGCCTCTTGAACCACGAAAATATCTGAGACAAGTACCAATGGAGATATGCTGAGCGGTACACAGGTGGCTGAACTGCTGAGCTAATTCTTAGATGAGCGGCTTCGTACCTGCGGCACCATATATGCACCAATGCGATTCGTCACCGATCAGGCCACAAATAACGATTACATTCGCCGTATTTGCAAAACGTAGAAAAGAATAGCGAAAAAGTTAGCTAGCCTCCTACCTGGCTAGTTTCCTTGCATGCGACTACCCGGGACTCGTAATCTTAAAGAACTGTACAAAGCACCTGCTAGTTCCATCTGCAACCTCTTCAGGCACTTGCTACAGTCACGCAGACTCATAATGGAATGGAAGTACATGGTCTCGTCGACCATTTTCCTGGAGGCAAACAGAAAAATTCTTGGCAGCTTTAGGCCGGCTGCCATTCCCTCTACAGTTTCCAAAGTATTAGAAATCCCGATAGCAGAAGATATCTGGGAATTTCTTAACAGGGAAAACACCATCCATACTGCCCAGCACGAGTTTTGGAGCGATCGTTCATATATTACCAACTTTCTGACTGCTAGGGGCAATGTAACTCCCAGCTAGGTTAGCAGAATGTCGGTACATGTTGCTTTCTCAGACAGTACTCCATAAAGAATTTCATCTCGCAAGATGGCGTCAACCGGCATAAGCGAACCCCTGTTTTCTTGGTTCGGAGCGTGCTTTGAGGGCAGACGGCCTTTCACCAACGTAAACAGAATGGTGTCAAGGTGGAAAACATCGACATCCAATGTATCGCATGGTGGAGTTCTGGGCTCGCTTTTGTTTCTTCTGTTCGTCAAGGATGTGTTGCGTAAAATCTCCTCACCCATCCTCCTTTCCGCTGATAACGTCAAAATGTGGGGGGTAGTAAACGAAGGTGCAGGCTGACGAGCAGCTTAAAGTGACCCTTAGGTACTAGGACTCTGGTCGTCGAAACAGGATTTCCGCTTCAACCTGGAGAAGCGTAACGTACCCACGAGGTAAGGACGGCCAAATTCCAGCACTAGTTGACTAACCGTGCTACCTTCAAGGTACCCGTAGATAAAGATCTGGGGTTTAACTTCTCCGACACCTTGAACACCAGCTCTAGCTACCGAAAGCAATGGGAGCCTGAGTAAGTGTCACTTTACACCTTCTGGTATTTTCACCCTTGAACCGCTTTTTACGGTTTTCAAATCCTGCTTAAGGTCGCACCTGGACGTTTTCGGTGCGGTAACACCCCAAACACTCAACAGATATCCCTCTCTCTTTAAGAAAATTAATTGGCCTGCAAATAAACTAGTTGTGGGACTAAAGGAGAAGACGTACTCTGACAGACTGGAAAACCTAAACCTACTTGCCGTGCCGTATCGCGGGAAGGAGGTGTGACGTCATTATAACCATTCTGGCAAGAAACACAAACTGGCCAGTCTTTCCCCCTAAATGTCGGCCACCATAGGGAGCGCGACCAGGACAGCAGTTCCAGGTCGAACTTTCTCTCTTTAAGAGTAAGCGTTTCATGGAGTGCCATACTATGGGTTGTAGTCACAGTACTATCAGCGGGCTCATTCAGAAGACGGTCAGATAGTTACTTTAGTTCATATGGATTCTCACAGCGGTAATCAGAACACCACTAATCCATACTGTCTACTTTTACACTTCGGATGAGTCCCATATACCTTTACGCAGTATCCTACCATTCCGACTCGGGTACCTGTGCAGACGGGAGTCAGGAAAGACTCATATTCTTCTCAGCGACCCATAGCTTCTTCACCATCTTAATCTTCAATTACCATCCGGCAAAAAACATTCATCTTTTAGGATTTGTCCTGGAGCGAACTTGACAGACGCAAAAACCAATCGCTAATTACATACCCACGAATACAGGACCAAAGGAGAACACAACAGAGTAGTCGGATGGGACAGAATATTTGGTGGTTGTGCCAAGACACCGATGCGTTCCAACTAGCTGGCTAGAGAGTCGATTACGAGCATTGCAACGTAACACGACAGCGTGCCAAATGGCCAAGATGCTAGACCGGGTGCCTTCAGCTTAGCGAGTCCAGTTAAACTGTCAAGGTCAGCATCAATGTTGAGTGTCGTCGAACCCTAGGCTATTGATTTTGGAGAAGTGTGTGACGTTACATTCTCTCTGGAGCTAAAAGCAGGAAGAAAAAAAAGATTTCCCCGCTCACCTCAGAATGAAATCGAATAAAAGGAGCCAAACGCAAGAACTAAATGCAAGATCAAAAACCATCAATATCACACGCTCTCACAATTGATGTTGGATGTTACATGTTTGCTCCGAAATTTCAGATATGTGCGCTACTTAATTTTGTTCTATTTCCACTTGGTTTTTTTGTTGTAGCAGGTTCTGTAGAGAATCATTCCTTTGCTCAATATTGTTTCTGCTTTTGAATTTCCATCGTTAGCAAGTATTCGTTTTATTTGTCAATATAAACCTCCTTGAAGAATGAGGTCCCAACTCAACAATTTCCCAGTGCCAACTTGGTGAACTTTGGGGCAATCTTGTAATAATTACATTGAAAAAACACACTGCTGATACAATGCTTTCAACACGCGGCCCCATCGTGTTTCCAATAAATATTTTCAAAAAGCCAGTCATGCATGGTACATATACTAAAGGGATTCTATGGTTCTGTGACAGAAGAATGAAGAGTACCATAAAAATGCAAGAATCAAGATTAATTGCATGATTGTAGGAAATGGAGCGCAATATAATTCTGCACTCACACGTCCTTACTAAAATGTGTAGTTGGAGGGTTATTTTAATGTTGAGTAATGGGTGATGATGGATACTTGAATTTATCAAATTGCTTCTGTCACTGACCCACATATTTAGACTACGATTTTGACTACCAAGTGTTTATAAGTAGCATATAAAGAAACGTGTATACCCTCAATTGTATATAACAATAATGGCTTAGTTCCAACTACTTGATGTCTGCGGTCTCTCTCATAGCAATATGGATGGAACATTTCCCAACATAACTAGTGGTCATTTGCTACAATACTTATCACTAGCTGCAATAGATGTGAATTTGACATATTTGTATCTAAATGTGTTAACCCAAAGGTGTATATAGAAATTAGTCATATTTATCTTTGAAGACCAATAAAGAAAACTTTATGTCCTACCCCACCAACCGTGTCTGTAACTTTCCAAGAACTAATACCTGTTGAGTTCAGAGTTCTAGAGCATCCATAGAATGTATTATTTCATATCCGCTCATCCATGACCATAGAATTTAAGGCAAGAAATATTTAGACTTTGGTGTTGAATTTTGCCTAGTCGCAACTTAGTAGTAGCCTTAAAAGGTCGTTATTCATTGCTGAACCCTCATTGCTTTGACTTGCCTCTGCGTAGACCTATGTTGCTCCACGAAAATGTTGACTGTTAGCAAGTTTATCCAATTGGACAGTAATAGAGATGCTGTGGGTTTTGCTCCAAGTGATTTTTGTTAGCTTCCTCTCTACTTTTAGAATGTTCGTATCGCGATAAGCACCATTAAACGTGTTGACTCCTTATCATATGAATAGACTATATTTTTGGCTGCAGATTCTCCAAGAAAACACTGTTAAAGCATACTCTTATCCTAAGACACTGCGTCTCAGATAAGGCGTTTTTATTTTCTTGGTCTAATATTAGATTAATAAGACAAGACTTAATCTCTTCTTTCTCCACCACTTCGAGTTCACCTTTTGATTTGTCGTCAACACTCGTGTTGAAAACATTACATCTAGGTAGCCCAGTTTATCTACTGAAAATCGTCTTAGTCTTCAGAATGCACCCAAGTTACTCGCTCAAAGTTTCTAGACACTTCAACTGCACTTGGTGCACAATTGCGTTTTGCTAAAATTTACCAAGACTCACCTGAAGTGAATCCAGAAGAAATATTACTAATTGAAGTCATTTATGATAGCGACCAAAAAAAAATAACTTTAATCTAAAGGCATATAAGCTTTTATATAAGTATGGGACTTAGACTCCACGGTAAGATGTGATTCTACATTTAATTTGTTTAATTGATATAGCGAATTGATAATATTATTTACATTACTACTATACATGAGCCCTACACTCTTTAATAGGCGGGGCGTTATGTATCAACCAAGTCCCTGATGTATTGAGTCGGCCTTCCGAAATACTCCAGTCTGCTAGACATTTTCAACCAGACAGACCAACTAATGCAAAACCTGGAACACAAGTTTATCGAAGATGGAAAATTAGGGTACAGTCTAACATTCCTCTAGATGTCTCAATGAATCTGGTCTGAAAGCTTCACTGTCGCCAAGTTTTAGGTACCAAAACTGGATAAGAATTTCTAACCAAACGAATGAGGAGTGAAATAGTATCAAATAAAGATAAATTGAAGCAAGATAGTCATTCTGCATACTACTACCGATGACCTTCCTCATTGTGGTTGACTGGATCATGCAACAAACTGTGAGGAACGAGAAGAGAGGCATACTCTGGACTGATGAAAAGACCTTAGAAGATTTGGATTTCGCCGATGATGATTTATGTCTAATGTCTTCTCGCACAAACTCGAAGATCTACAGGCAAAAACAAACAAGTTGACAGAAGAGGTAGAGAAGACGGGACTTCAAGTGAACGTGGAGAAGACAGAGGTGATGAAGATACCCAACCAACAACAAGCACCAATCACCATCAAGGGGAGAAACCTAAAGGAAGTAGTCTCTTTCACCTACATAGACAGGCAGCATCGTTTCAACTACAGGTGGCTGTACAGATGAGGACGTCAAGGACAGGGTCGGAAAAGCAAGACAGGCTTTCATTAATCTGAAACCAGTGTGGAGATCTACTGCACTGCACTCAGCATAAAGCGTGAACAAGACCCGGATTTCCAACACCAACGTTAAGTCAGTGCTTCGATGTGGTTCAGAAACTTGGCGCGTTGCGAAAAGCATTTCCGACAAACTACAGTCATTCATTAACAGCTGTCTACGCTCGATGCTGAAGATCGGACGGCTAGGATAATAAGAATAAGCAGCAAAGAACTCTGGCCTGGCAACGAACCAACCAAGACCCCATCGCCTAACAAACATGCAGAAGAAAGTGGAAATGGATTAGGCATACACCGAGAAGAGCATTCGGGGACATCACGCAACAGGCCAGGCCGTCGAGTGGAACCCGTGTGGGAAACGACGAGCTGGGCGTCCCAGCTGAGGGTGACATGGAGGAGATGGTGTGAGGAAGAAGTGAAAGCTTGTGGGCAGTCGTGGAGTCAGGTTGAAAGGACTGCAGAGAGGCGAGTGAAATGGAGACGTGCTACTGAAGCCCAATGTTCCATTAGGAACCCAAGGGACAAATAATAATATAGTAGTCTTTTTGCCAAAGCGTTTTCCGAGTAATGTCAGTTATTGACAACTTTGTCGAATTATTCTTTTAGGCGTTTAAATTGTTAGTGGTTTTCTAAAGAAGCTCATTGGATTAGTCAGTTGACATTCAACCAATAGGTCACAGGGTCGAACACGGTTCCACCTAACGAGGTTTGTGCAGCCAAGTAGAGTATCATTAGCCCTTACACGGTAGGTGTGCCTCATTGCCTACTGCACGAATTTATGCATGGCTGATGAGTGCATTTCGATTTCGTTTGGATATTGAAAAATTCAGTGTTATCCTGGATTTACTAATGTGAAAATTTACACAGCTCTCAAAAAGTACTATTTTTGTAATGTTACGTCTACCGTCTTACAGATCAACCTACGTGTGATCTAATCAGGATGTAATGATGCGGTTCACAAGGGTTGCTCAGGTTTGTGCAGCAGGCTAAGAGCTCCGCCTTTTGAATGAGAGTTATTGGTGCTGTTGTGTAGCTATTCGAATTTTTATAGTTGAAGTTGAGATACGATATTGTTTGGACTTAGTGCTGGTAGTGTCTTGTTGATCTTTGTTGTGAAGATGACGTCCGTCTTCCCGTCAACTGACTATCTGGTTAACACAAAACTTTTCGATGAATTTTAGTATCACTGACTAGGTGGTTCTGTGATATACAAGCATTACATCAGTGGCACAGTTTATGAGGGGTACTTGTAATCTTTTTCTGTGATTTATTTCCAGACTCCATTTCTTACAGCTTAATTGATGAAAAGCCGATTTCGGTTCACTTTACTGGTCTTTTGACAAGTAACTGGTTTTTGTAGCTCACTGTAAATAACCGGAGCTTAGCGAATACAAAACAAGCTTTCTGTAACGGTACCAAGATTCCATTGGTAACCCTCATTTCATAAAGGCTAGTTGAAGCTTCTAAATGAGCTAAGCAGTAAAGGCACGCAGTTAGTTTACAACCTACTAGCGAAATTGGTGTTAGCGCTTACCAGTTCTAGAGTACTGATTCCTGTGTGACAAGCAAAAACGTGGTTTTTGATACAGATAGCAAAACGTTAATGCCATCATTGGTCCATAATGATGATGCATACATACTGTGACTGTTTGGCTGGCAAAATTAACGTAGAGCCTCGCACACAGGTGCATTGACTCAAGTTTCCACACTTCACAGTAGTAGACAAAGAATAGGTGGATAGAAAAAGACTCATACTCAAGTAAACAAAAGTTGTGTGAGAGGACAAGCAATTTGAAAATAATGGTTAGTACAGATATTCAAGCTTCAGAAGACGTCAAGGAGTGAATACATCCGCACCATTGTGATCGATTTTCAGCTATATTACCAAGAGTTCTCAACCACTAGTCCACGTCGTTTTGGGGACCCCAACCAGGCGGTCTACGCCTCCCTACACGGTTCAGACCAATAAGAAGAGACTTCATCAACTGGTGACACATCCTAGTCTGGCTACCATGAACCCTCAACCTAATCCAACTTCCTACAGCATAGCATGTCGAGATGGGCGGTGGCTCGGCATGCACAGTACGTGTCCAAGACATCTCAGTCGACTAAAGTTCACAACCTCATCAGTCGGCTTAGCTGTTTTGCCTAGTATACTTCGCCTGACTTCAACAGTGCTCACACGCTGATTCCACCACATGTGAGCAATGCTGTGAAGTCACCTACGATCGAAAGCCTGTTACCGCTTTATGTCTTCTACTTTCACTGGCCATGTCTCACAGCCATACAACAGGACAGAGTGGACGGCAGCGCAGTATGCTTAGCCTTTAATAGATAGTCGGATACCTTGTGAGTCGGAGCGACAGTTGGTTATTATTATTTGTCCTTTGGGTTCCTAATGGAACATTGGGCTTCAGTAGCACGTCTCCATTTCACTCGCCTCTCTGCAGTCCTTTCAACCTGACTCCACGACTGCCCACAAGCTTTCACT